AATTTCGTGACGAAAATTATACGCATTTTTACCTTCTTACCTTCCTTTTATTAGCTCGGGATGTAACTATGTAATATTGATGCGCCTAAAAGATGCAGCGATTTCTATTCTCAAGTTACATACCTGATGACAATACGAATGGCAATTATAATAGGGAGGTTTAAGTTTTTTTAACTATATTTTTATTTAACTGCCTTGGAAACGTAGGCAAAATCTTTTTTATTCATACGAAAAGTTCTGTTTTTTGTTTTGTGTTTCTAGCAGTAGAAGGATTTTCACAACGTTCCGAATAAATAAAAAAAGATTTTCCGTACGTTTCAAAGGCAGTTAAAAAATGCGTATAATTTTCGTCACGAATTTGATATCATAAATTTTGTGTTTCTAGTTCAGCATTCGTGACTCGAAAATTTTACCTCAATGATCTAAATGTTATTTTTTTCTTAAATAAATTGCTAAAAATATTATCTAAATCTAAATTATGTATTCAAATCGATGTGTCCATTGAAACATATAATTTTTCGAATGCGGAATAAAGCGAAAAAGAATGATCATCCTTAGTATTCGAAAAAATAAAAAAAAAATATGAGAAATGATAAAAACGTATCAACTTGGTACCCACTTTGGATACAATAAATCACTGTATTCGTCTGATTGTCTCGTAGTTTATTTTTGTTAAGATTTCTACTGGGTGTGGGGCGCTTTTTTAAGAATTTTTACTTCTATCACGTGTGCGGTGTTGCACTCGTGCTATTAAACTAATGCTTTTTTCTCAAGTAGTTTTGCTCAGTGGCAATTTATACATTTTATGTAAGTAGTAGCGGCAGATTGGGTGAACTAAATGCGTTCATACATACATATTTATGTACAACTATAGGTAATATAGTACGCGTCTTCCCTGGTAGGTTAAGTGCGGGTGATAAACCCATGTAGCATAGTTAAATACTGTGTACATACCTACAATTAAAATGGTGAAAAATATTACAATTTCGGCATGTGACTGGAAAAAAACTCTAAAATACACACAAATTGTGGTTTCCAAGACATGTACGAATTGATTAGCACAGCTGCATCCTTCAACTTGTCAACTCGCGGGAAATCTCCCGATTTGCAGAGAATTTCGGTTTAAGTGGCAATCGGGGAATGGGAAATTTTTCGGGGAACTGGGTATGATTTATATCTTAAAGTAACCAAATTAGACGAATATGTTAATTTTAAACCATTGGTCGCTATTTGGGGCGACTTTTTTCAATTTGAATTGCCATATCTCCACAACAAGAGTTTTCCCAGATATAAGCTATATACCAAATAAACGCTAAGGTTTTGGGCTAGACTTGCGGAAACTTAGAATAAAATCGACCGACCAGTTTTTGAGAAAATGCCCGAAATCTATATTTTCAGCAGCCCGATTTTTAGTTTTCAGGCGATAACGTTATGACATATTTAAATCTCATAAACACAAAAGATAGCGTTAGATAGCTTGTTTGAAGACCCTTCTACTGATGTCCGCATCAATGACATGGACTGAGTAGTGCGGCCTCAGTGGTAGTTTGAAAAATTGCCTTTTTTCGAATTTCAGGCAGCAGCCACGCCTACAAAGGCATAGGAATCAAAACATCCTGGAACAAAACGTTCTTAGTTCTTGTTGTACTATAATTCCTGAAAGTTTGAAAAAAATTAAATAAAGGTACGTACAGACGCCACATACATCTCGTAGTGGAGACACGAACCAAAACACATTTACTTCTATATCTTTCCAACTAGTAGCCGGAACTTAATATTTAAGGTATCGTTTTAAAGGTATTGGCCTATAGAATAACACTTAATATGTTGGGTGTACCCACATTTCCCCTTAAACCGGCAAAACCAAAAAAACGTTTTTTGTTTCCCAACACTTTAGCCTAATTTTTAAGAATCCGGTTAATTGTTTATGAAGATTGAATACATTTTCTGGACACACTCCTCAAGACCTTTCCAACGATATATCAAACATGTCGATTGGACGTGTGGATAAAAACTTCCAAATCTCGTGTATACAGGGTGTCCCAGAAGTAACCTGCCAAACTTGAGGTGAAGGCAGGTGGGGTGGTGAGCTCCCTGATAAGCAAAAATTTTTCCGGTAAAAGTGTCACCGTTTTTGAAATATTAAAATTTATTTGAATTAAAGAAAAATCGTGCCTTTTCATGTATTTTCTTTAACTGCATCTACAAACAAGGCTATACTTTGTAAATTTTTCATGTAAAATACTTCCAGATAGTTGCTTCTCCATATTCAAATGCCGTGTAGTAAAAATATATTAAGGAACCATTATAAAATTAGGACTATTTTGGGATTTTTAACTTTCTGATATTTTGTTCCCCAACTTTGACTATCTCTGGTGAAAAAAATGTACTGAGCTATATCTTTACATTACATAAAAAAATTGCTCATTTAATAGATATTTCAGAAATGTGCCACTCTTACTATTTCGAATAGAAAAAAAAAGTTATAGCCGCTTTTGTGGGTAAAGGACTGAGACACGCTAGAATGTATTTAATAGATTTAAATTTAAGTTGCTCTTATTACTGGCCAATGACATGCTAAATAGTGCAAAGGTACATTATTACTTGCTCCTGACACTATTTTGTGTTACTTAACGGGATTCGGACTAGAGTCAGTAACAAGGGCTATATCTATCAATATTTTTGTGAAGGATGGGTTCACGTGAAATAGAATATACATGAGTTGTTTGAAGAAAAATGTATTCATTTATTGATAAAATATGCTCAAATTGGCGACCTTCTACTCTAATACAAGCTCGGCACCTTTTAAAAAAATACTCTTTTAGAGATCCTAAACTCAATTGGGCTATCTCAGCAGCAGCTCCATTTATTTGTTCCCGAAAATGCTCTTCGTTTTGAATTATTTTTGAATAAATTTTGTCCTTAAGACAGCCCCAGTAGAAAAAGTCGAATGGATTCAGGTCTGGCGATCGAGCGGGCTACGTGATTGGCCCGTATCGTCCAATCCATCGGCGAGGATAAGTTTCGCCTAAATGAGCTCTTACTTCACGCCCGTAGTGAGCAGGGAATCCGCCATTTTGCTGCCATAGTCTTCGCCGCAGGTTTAAGGGTACATCTTCTAAAAGAGTTGGAAACCGTTCCTGAAGGAACTTTAAATAACTGTGGGAGTTGAGCGTTGGCGGCAGTTCCACAGGTCCCAATATCTGACAATTAAAAATACCGCACCATAAATTTATTTTGTGCTGGTACTGCGAACGATCTTATCTCATTTCGTGAGGATTGTCTATCTGCCAACTGTGAAGGTTATGTAAATTAAAATAACCATCACGTTTGCATGATGATTCATAGCTCCAAATTATTTTATTAAAAAAGTTGGGGTCTGAATCATGCATTCGCAACATTTCACGGCAAAATCTAACCTTCGACAGGTAATCTCTTTCTTGTAGAGCCTGAACACGTTGAATGTGGTAGGGATGTTATTTTAAAGCTTTGTGAACTGTAGTTTTTGGTATTCCAGTCCGTCTTTCCATCATTCTCACTGAAGTCGATGGACCTAGTTCCACTTCCTCTAACACAACTTCAACATCTACCGTTGCAGGACGTCCTGTCTCGCCGCTCCGCCTTCCAGATATGCGACCTTAAAAAAGTTAAAAATGATAGTTAAAAGAAGAATGGCTTCAAACAAGAAAGGTGTAAAAATTACTTACCTTCCGAAATTTCTCTATAGGTGCGGGGGAATACTTCACGACCCGGATGCCGACGATTTGGGTATCGCTCTGCATAGAGTCTTTGAGCAGCTCTGGCATTACAGCAAGCTTCACCGTAAATTAGGTGAATATCCGCATATTCATGCGACGTATACTGCGTGTTCTCTGTCATAGTATTAATAACACAATGTTCGAAGGGTCCAATTTCACAAAATCCACTTTCATTATTTCCGGTAAGTAACACAAAATAATGTCAGGAGCAAGTAATAAAGTACCTTTGTACTATTTTAGCATGTCATTGGTCGGTAACAAGACCAACTTCAATTTAAATCTATTAAATACATTCTAGCGTGTCTCAGTCCTTTACCCACAAAAGCGGCTATAACTGTTTTTTTTCTATTCGAAATAGTAAGAGTTGCACATTTCTGAAATATTTATTAAAAGAGCATTTTTCTATGTAATGTAAAGTTATATCTCAGTACACCTTTTTTCACCAGAGATAGTCAAAGTTGGGGAACAAAATATCAAAAAGTTAAAAATCCCAAAATAGTCCTAATTTTATAATGGTTCCTTAATATATTTTTACTACATTGCATTTGAATATGGAGAAGGAACTATCTGGAAGTATTTTACATAAAAAATTTATTAAGTATAGCCTTGTTTGTAGATGCAGTTAAAGAAAATACATGAAAAGGCACGAATTTTCTTTAATTCAAAAAAATTTTAATATTTCAAAAACGGTGACACTTTTACCTGAAAAATTTTTGCTTATCAGGGAGCTCACCACCCCACCCGCCTTCTCCTCAAGTTTGGCAGGTTACTTCTGGGACACCCTGTATATAAGCGAGTCATTTCAGCATGCTACTGTGGCTGCTATCGTCACTCGCGCGCACTGCCATGCGCTGTGATTTTGCTTTAACACATCCACATTATAGATCGGAGTCATCTCATTGTATACGAGGCGCTTCATTTGACTCAACACGTGAAAATCAACCGGCGTTAATTTAGGGATTCTCGCCGGCCATGGTATTGGTCCGCCTTTCCAATAAATTTATGGGGATAACTGTCGTCGATCCATGGGCGAACACTTCTCATGAATAAGCTGGGCAGCCATCATTTTCACCCCTATTGCGAGGGTCGACTGGCAGTAGAATAGAAATTTGTCGATTGAGTCGATTATCTTTTATTTTGCTATTGTGCAACTTGATCTATAAAAATGTGAACTATTGTGAATGGTTGACTGAATTGTAAACATCTGTTTGTCTGTTTACATTTGTTTCTTTATTGTTTCATTTACATCATTTTTGAAATAATTGCTTTTATTAAAAAATTTAACAAATGGATACTGTTGAGATATGGTTCAGTGATAAGGAAGATGATGTGAAAGCTATTAGATTAGTAGAGTACGGTGACCATCCGTCCTTTATTTTAAAGGACAGTCCTTTATTTTAACCCCCTGCCCTTTCTAATTTTTTTCAAAATAAAGGACGCCTTTTGTGCTTTATTTCTTAAACTGTCCTTTAAATTGGCTCTGCATTTTACAGAGGTACATTTTTTAACGCAGAATATGAAAAATAAAAATTTCCCTTATGATATATATTAAAAAAAACCTTCGCGAGTTTGTTTCGCACCCCACTTAAGGGTTTCTATTTAATCGGCAATCTTTGTACAATCTATAAAGCACAGGGAAAGTTGTGCCCAGGATCGTGTTGCACGCTGAGTTTCCAGTTCCACTGAAAGAGAACAATAAACCCCCTGCTTCACAGTGGTTCAAAACTGGCATTTAGTGTTCGTAACTCACTGGAGCCTTCATTTTTCACTTAATTTGTTTAATTTTTATTTTACAATATTTGCAAGAGACCAGTTGAGCCTGATTTCTGAATTTTTTATTTGATTATATTAAATTTTTCAGTGCAAAGTGCAGAAAAGGTAGCAATTTTTAAGAACATGTATTCTCCTGTTCCAGTTAATAAATGTTACATACCAAAAACTATTTGAAAACAATTGTATGGTTATCCCAAAACAAAAAAATACACAAACAAAATTGAAATGTTATAAAAAAATTTTCATCAAAATATTTTTTTTTTGTTTTTAATAAAAATTGGTTGATTATCAACATTAAATTCCAATTTTGAAGCACTGTGTGCTGGCTTCGTCGTGCAGTATGAATTATGGTAAACGCATTTTGGTAGCAAAGGATGGCGAAGTGCTTGACAAGGATTTGGCTCAATTTTTCGCTACAGCAGGGGAACTTGTACAATTAAATAATATAATTAACTGGCAAATATTTGATTTAAATTACTATTTGGATAAGGTACTTTTATCATACAAATTGTATGTACGTATTCCCAAATCATTTTGAATAAAATTTCCTTTATTTTACGTTGGTTAATATGGTCACCGTATAGTAGAGTTAGGTAAAGCAAGGAGGAAATTGCGAGATTCGTCGAATCCCTTGTAGTTGGAAGATGAAGTGTATGTACATACATATGTGAATTTCGTGAATAGTAGTTGCGTTCCGGATGCTCCACGATTTGCAGGTTTTACAGGATTTGCAGGAAAAGCTGTTTTCGCCATTAATAAACTTTTTGGAAGGTGGCCACCTGGAACAGCTTCCTGTAAATACCTGCAAATCGTGAAGCATCTAGAACGCAACTAGTTTAAGAAATTCGTTACGGTTTAGTTATTTGTATAATGATTTTGGGCTGTTGTGTCGAAACGCGTGACCCGATTGTAAAAATACGTGTAGTGAAAGGAGTAAACTTTAATTTAAAATAAAGATTTCAAATTTGCGAGCACATTAATAAATTATGGAGTTTTTTGTAAATCTTGATGTTGGTTCTGCTGCTATGGCTTCCCATCTGGGTTTTGCCCGAGTCTTGCCGCAAATCCAAGTCTTGATAGCCCTGCATAAGCTGGACCACCCGCCCAAGTAGCTTTTTATTGCTAACCACTTTTGATCTGCAATTCACACACATGTATACTAAATTTTTTTACAGCTTTCTATCCAAATAACTTACTTTTTATCCATTATTTATTTATTTATATCACCACAATTTTATTCACGCAAACTCTACCGACTCAGAAACAGCAGTAGAAGGATAACCGATTGAAAACTATTCACAGTCGCTAATTGAGCGACTGACTAATCGACACCATAGGACCGATAATCGATAATTGCTTAGTAGTCGTTTATCTACTTCTAGTCGACACTCGCAATAGGGGTGTTTGCCTTACGGCAAGAGGCACGCCTTCCATTAACTCGAGTAAATTGTTCCGTAAAAAATGTACGTGTTCAAGCACTCAGGCAAGAAGAATGGCCCAATAATGTAATTGGAAATTTTTCCTATCCACACATTGACGCTAAATTTTCTCTGTAGCCCTTTCGTTCTCCTTTTGTTAGGGTTGCCTTCGCCTTTAGGAGCACGATAGTCTGTTTTAGTAGTTAGTAATACCATCCATAGTGAAATTTTGGGGGAGGAACTTTCATAATGATGTACCTTATTTAATGGTTGTGTTAATAGGTAAACATAAACTTGATTTTTGCAATCCTTTCAAGTGATTTTTTTCTTTATACAGAGTTTAGAAAAATTTTTAATTTGGATTTTTATAAAAATTTTGGGTATGCAGTTCCTTAAAATTCTAATAAAACGGCTGTAAGTTTTACGTAGCTAAGAAATCGCGTTGATTTTTAATTTGTTTTTGTTTATTTTTGTACTTGTATTTGGAGCTTTTCGGCCGGTGTGTTGAAAATAAAAACTAAGTTT